CGGAAAACCGACGAGGATATAAACAGACCATTGCTGGTTTCCTTCAATACTGAACCAGATGTTATTGAAATAAACCGAAAGGTGCCAAAGTTGAAAGAAGCCACTGCAGAAATCAGAAATCTCGGATTAGCCCGGCTTGGAGTTTGAAAGAAAGAGAAGTGCGAAACCTAGTTACGAAAGCAAAAAACTTGAACGATCAGGAAGAAGGAAACTATGTATATCTGGTTCGAGGAACGCAGATACTAAAAGTCAAGAAGAAAGCAAGACTAGAAAATAAAACTTCTGGTACACAAATATTGACACTCTAACGCAAACGAAACATCAGGAATTGATCAAATTAATTGAAGATAAAAAGAACCCATCAGATGTAATTGCTCTCGTAAAAGCAAAACCAAAAAATTCGAAAACCGATTGGAATCGAGCTTGGTACAAAATTAACAACTATAACATTGAGTCAGTAAACATGAATCCAAACGACTGCGGGCGAGGAAATTTAACTTTCGTAATTAAAGATATAGACGGGGAGGGTTCTCATACTTGAAGGACCGAATGCTTGAAAAATTTTAACCAATCAAAATGGATAAGCGTACTCCTTGGCTAAATGCCTTTCCCACAAAATCGAAGTCAAAATTAACAGAAAATGTTTTAAGCTGTACAATTCGTGCAGATCTAATAAATTTAGTTTTTTGTTTCTTCGTCCATTTTTCGTAAATCGGTAATATTAAATTTGTTCCAATCCACCTTCAATCCGGCAATTTTTGAAAACTCATAGGCTTATTATCTAATCGGTCAGTATTAACCTTAATTGCCTGGATTTATTTTCTTACTTTGTGATTTTTGCGATTTACTTTGAGATTTGAATACTCAATTCTGATTGGCTCAAAGGAAGCTAAAATTAATTGCAAGCATTTGGTCCTTCAAGCATGAGGGACGCCACCGATATAGACTACTGCATTAGACAAAACCCGAACGAGTTACAAGAAATGATGGTATGTGACATTGCTATTGATCGAAAATTTATCCGCTTGGCAGTTGTCTACCGGAGCCCAAATTCACCAGAAATGATTAACGATTGCCTTTGCCAACCAATCAAAGAACTATGGGAAAAAGATGTGAAGGTTTATACGTAATCTTGGGCGACACAAATTTTCCATCAATCAACTGGGATGATTGCAGTACAACCAAGGACGAGGAGAGCAAAGAATTCAAATTTCTAGAAGCAGTTAGGGATGCATTTCTAATCCAACACATCGATGAATCAACTCGCATTACTGCCGGAGATAAACCATCACTACTAGATATAGTTTTAACTGATGTCGGTCTAAGCGACCTAGACACTAATATCCAACCACCTCTGGGACAGAGCGACCACGTTCTCATAGAAGTGGAGTTACCCGCGCACCGCAAAATTAGTAAGACCATGATTTGATACAACTCCTTTAAGGAGACAACGACCCAATGAGAGATGAAGTAAAAAGTTTGTCGTTTCTTCACAGTGAAGACAATGTTGAAAAACTTTTGACGGATTTGCGCGAACTCCTGACTGAACTGACAAAAAAGTTGGTACCATCAACTGGGCTCAATCCAGAGTGTAGAAACAAGTTACTATTCACCAATACCACTCAACAGGCAATCAGAGCAAAAAAGAAATACTGGAAAAGTTTTGCTGCAATAGAACAAAAGTAAATTTTAACAACTATAAAGAAAAAAGAAATGCTGTTAAGACAGCTACTCGAAATGATCAAAGGGCAAAGGAAAGTGAAATAGCTAAAGATGTAAAAATGAAACCAAAAAAATTCCGGAGCTATGTGAGACAGAAAATCGTGTTACAAAATGTAATACCAGCTTTACTGCGGGATGATGGATCTTTAACGACCAATGAGATCGAAAAAGTTGAAGTTTTGTCAAAGTTCTTTTCATCAGTCTTCACACACGAACCACCAGGAGAATGGAAGATTCCAGAATTGGATATCACCCATCCAATAAAGGACTTAGAAATAACAGAATAATTGGTGAAAGAGCAACTAGACTCACTCAATACATCGAAATCTCCAGGGCCCGACGAAATTCACCCGAAACTTCAGTTTGAATTGAGAGATATCCTGACTCAAGTTCTAACAAAAAATTTTAACAAATCTTTGGACGAAACGAAGCTACCTGAGGACTGGAAACTTGCTCACATTGCCTCTATCTTCAAAAAAGGAAAAAGTTGTTAGCTGACAACTATCGTCCAGTAAGCTTATTATCAATAGTTTGTAAAATATTTGAGAAAATAATAAGAGCCCATCTTATGGAACATCTAGAAAAAAATGAAATCCTTGTAATTGAACAGTTTGGTTTTCTGCCCGGTAGATCATCACAATTACAGCTACTGAGAGTGCTGGATGATTTCACAAAAACAATAGATAGTCGCCGAGAAACGGATGTTATCTACTTGGATTTCAAGAAAGCGTTCGACTCGGTTCCGCACAAAAGACTGATAGGAATCCTAAAACAATATGGAATAAAAGGAAAAACACTGGGCTGGATCAACGAGTTTTTATTAACAAGACGACAAAGAGTTGTGTTAAACGACAGTAGATCTGAATGGAAAGATGTTCTGAGTGCGGTTCCCCAAGGATCTGTACTGGGACCTGTTTTGTTTGTAATTTATATAAATTCAATGCCAAACAAAGTCAAATCAAAATTTTATTCATTTGCAGACGATGCAAAACTATACACTGAAATTACCAGTAACAAAGACGTTGAGTTGCTGCAAGAAGATCTAAGAAAACTGGAAGAATGCTCAAAAAATAGTCTTTTGCATTTCAATGAAGATAAATGTGTACATATGATAATCTCAAATGGAGGATCAAATCGTGAAACAAGATCATATGAACTTTACGATAAACAGCTAGAAACGGTAGGAGAAGAAAAGACCTTGGAGTGATCATCGATAGTAAACTCCCCTTTGACTCTCATATCTTTGCGAAAGTTAAAAAGACAAATTCCGTCATTGCAGTTTTTAAGAAAACATTCATTAAAATGACTATACCTGTATTTTTAAATTTTTATAATCAATATATAGGAAACTGCCAGCTATAAGAGTATTCACAAGTATTGCGATGCTATGCTCCGCACTTCTTCAAATGTCTTTTGGCCATGTTAATAATTCTGAAGTATTAGTAAGTGCCATTATGTAGAATGGACCGTTTTTTTCTTGAAGTAATAGCACATTTTGTAAATGTATCTTATACGATGCTATGCTCCGCACCCTGGATTGCAAACTACTAATATAGCTGTCATGTGAACATGTTGAAATGCTAAACTGCTGATTAGGTATGCAATGAATGGGGAAATGTTCGATTGTTATTGCTAAAAAATGACGAGGTAGACCTGAGATCTGCATAGTTGTGCTTTTCAATTAGCTTTACTTATGGCTTGCGCTTCGAGAAAATGTCTAGATTCTTTGTCTGTTTGCAATTCACAGCAACGTATCAAAAACAAACGACTATGTCTGGAAGAATTGTTTGATTATTATTGCTTAAAAACGACAAGGAAGACACGGGAAGTGCAATGTTGTGCCATTCAAGCCGTTTGCTTTCTTAAGGCCTGGACTTCCATTAGGTGACTAGACCTTGCCTAGATTTTGTGTTTTTTTTATTTCACAACAGAGTTTTGAAAATGAACGACTGTCTTTGGAAGAAATGTTTGACTTTTTTACTCAAAAATGACGAGGAAGACGGGAACTGCATATTTGTGCCATTCAGGTGACTAGCTCGCTTTTTATCAGGTGACTAGAAAATGCCTAGATTCTTTGTATGTCTGCACTTCACAACAAAGTTTCAAAATGAACGACTGTCTCTGGAAACATTTTATTATTATTGCGTAAAATCGACGAGAAAGACCTGGTAATTGCATAGTTGAACCGTTCAGGTGGTTTTTACTTCTTACGGCTCGCACTTTTATCAGGTGTCTAAGAAATGCCGAGATTCTTTGTATGTTTGCAACACTAGCAATGTATTGAAAATGAATGAGTGTTTCTGGAATTCTTTGATTGTTTTGCTTAAAAATGACGAGGAAGACCTGGGAACTGCATTGTTTTGCCATTCAGGCATAATAAAAAGAAAGTCTCCGGAACAAATGTTTGATTATTATTGCTCAAAAGTCACGAGGAAGACCGTGGAAATGCAGTTGTGCCATTCAGGCCGTTTAACTTTTTAAGGTTCGCACTTCTATCAAGTGACTAGAAAATGTCTAGATTCTTGGTATGTTTGCACTTCTTAACAAAGTTTTAAAATGAACGACTGTCTCCGGAAGTATTTTGTTTTTTTTTTGCGTAAAATTGGCGAGGAAGACCTGGTAACTGCAGTTGTACTGTTCAGGTGGTTTTACGTCTTAAGGCTCGGACTTCTATGAGGTGACTAAGAAATGCCTAGATTCTTTGTATGTTTGCAACTCACAGCTAAATATGGAAAATGAATAACTGTTTCTGGAAATGTTTGATTATTTTTGCTTAAAAATGACGAGGAAGACCTGGGAACTGCATTGTTGTGCCATTCAGGCCTAATGAAAAGTCTCTGGAACAAATGTTTGATTATTATTGCGTAAAAGTGACGAGGAAGACCCTGGAAGTGCATAGTTGTGCCATTCAGGTCGTTTAACTTCTTAAGGTGTGCACTTCCATCAGGTGACTAGAAAATGCCTAGATTCTTTGTAAGTTTGCAATTCACTGCAAAGTATTAAAAATGAATTTCTGTCTCTGGAATGTGTTTTTGAATCGGTGTCCATAAACTTCCTTTTTTCTTTATTATAATATCAATGGTTTTGCCCTAATTTTTAGATTTTCAGAACTTATTTCTTGGATGAATGGTGCCATGGTGTCCTTTTGAATGATATTTTTTTTGTAAGCTTAACCCCCCTGTGAAGTAGGCGTTCGATTTAAATGATCTTATATTGTTAGTGGTTTTGCATGCTTCCAATCCATCTTATCCCATTATATAAGTTCAATCTCTTGACAGGCTGGGAGAGGCGTGTAGAACCAAATGGACAGGTTTACTTTGTGAACCACAACAACAAAACAACTCAATGGAGGGACCCGCGGCAAAATAATGGCATCAAAAACTGTATACTTCCCTCCTCATCTTCTGCCGGGGGGCTAGGTGCGGCCACTGTGAGGGCATCAGGAAATGCAGGGGCAGCGGAAGTGATGTTAGGGCAGGCTGAAAGTCTAGAGGAGGGGCTCCCAGAGGGGTGGGAAGTAAGAAATACAAAAGAGGGTGAGTGAGTGAATTTTTCAATGCGTTACCAAGTGTCATGAACGTAGTGAATACTCTTATATAGGTCTTGGTGATTTTTTTCAGAATTTTTTTTGTTCACGCTTAAATTTGATTTTTTTTTTGCGTTTTTACTTTTAGTTTCTTTCCAAGTTTAGTTCATTTCCATTGTTAAAAGGAAAGATAACTCCACTATCGAACATTAAATGTGTAAATGTCACGAAAAACGTGATCGATTTCCAGTTTCGAAAAAGGAATTCAATTGGCAGATTTCCCAGCGGAATAGAGAATGTACCTATTGATCCAGTTTTTCTAAATTGGGTTGTTTGTATCAAAAAACGTCAATCATAGGCTGTTCTTGAATTTCAAAGAGCTTTGAGGCCACATATTTTTTTCTTTGAAACTCGAAATTTGAAGTTTTTTTTTAAAAAACAAGTCAGTGTTTTCTCTATTTTCTTGCTTTCATGACTATTTTCCAACTGTCTGTTGGCTATATTGATTACCCTTGCGTTTTCCCCCCGTAATTAACTCTTTTACAGGGCTCATCTCCTGGTTGTACCTTGGTTAATAATGAGTTTCTTGGCGTCTCCGGTACACTTATACACTTAGCGTGGAGGTAACGATACGCCCGGGATGACAAAGGTCCTTGCTTCGAATCTGACCAGGACCTGTTTTTTCTTCAAATGGTTTTTATGTTTCAAATAAAATTTCAGGCCTATTATTTTTCTGTCCATGTTTTGTCGGCTTAGTTGCGACAACTTGAAATGTTTTTTTTTTTCTGTACGCAATTTTCATTGTAGTTGCTTTTAATGTTATGATAATTTGGCAATTTATTTCGATATGTATTCTATCGGCTTTGTAACGTTATTTCGAAACGTTTCATCGTTTTCCAGTCTGCGTTTGTCATATTTTTCTATGACTGTGGATTTAGAGCAATAGCAAATCCAGCTTTTTTGTTGGCAGAGGTACATTTTTTTCAAACAATAACTCATGGTTCCATTTGTAGGAATTCCTTATTTTGTGGATCACAACAGTCGGACCACGACTTTTATTGACCCGAGGACGAACAAAAGTACGCTTTTTGGTCAAGAAAACCTGTTGCAACAGCCGAAAAACATCACTTACGAGAGACATTTCTCTTGGAAAGAGAACCAGTTCCGACTACTGTGTGCCAGTAACTCACTACCTTCAACGTTCAAGATCACAGTTTCCAGACAGAATGTTCTAGAATCATCCATGCGTCAGATTCTGGCTGTGAAGCCTTACCAGTTGAGAAGAAGACTGCATGTGTCTTTCGAGGGCGAAGAGGGCATCGATTACGGAGGAGTTGCCCGAGAATGGTTCTTCAAACTGTCGCGAGAGGTATTGAACCCCATGTGGTGTCTATTCCAATACGCCAATGACACTAATTACGCTTTGCAGATCAACCCTCATTCTTCAATCAATCCAGACCACTTAAAGTACTTTCGTTTTATTGGAAGATTTATTGCTCTCGCCCTCTTCCAGAAGAAGTTTATCGACTCCGGGTTCACGCTGCCTTTCTACAAACGTATTTTGAATCGTCCTATGGCCTTGTCGGATTTAGAAGCCGTTGATCCGGAGTATTATCGCTCGCTCAAATGGATCCAGGAAACAGACTTGAGCGAGTACAGCGCGGAAGATTTAGGGTTCACTTTTTCCATCGACCACGAAGCTTTCGGCAAGTTGGTAACTAATGAACTGAAGCCGAATGGAAACGAGATTTTCGTGTCGGAGGAGAACAAGAGTGAGTATATTAAGCTGATGCTGAATTGGATTCTAGCCAGGGGGGTGGAAGACCAGACAGGATGTTTTTTACACGGATTCAACGAGGTCGTTCCTGTTTCGTGGCTGCAGTACTTCGATGAAAAAGAACTGGAAATAATGTTGTGTGGTATTCACGAGATTGACGTGGATGATTGGATGGCGAATACCTTGTACAGGAACTACAATAAAAACTCGAAACAGGTTAAAATATTTTCATTCATCCTATCAGTGATATTTCATACTATATCAATTATGGATTTCGACAAATTTTTTGAAGCATTTTTGTGTATCCTGGAAGGCTGGACTTTTTGGTAGTGTTGAAAGGAATTGTAAAAAAAATTGATTCAAGAACAATTGGAATAAAGTTCTGATTTTTTTGGAAAATTTTGACCTGGCCTTAAACCTATGCATTTAGTAAATAAATATGAAACTTTAAAAATTGAGTAGTTGTGCAGTTGTGCTGTTCTAGGTCTTATGGTTCTGGAGCTTGGTCCGAAATCTGGACCGGGAAAAGAAAGCGAGATTGTTACAGTTTGTTACTGGTACGTGTCGAGTGCCAATAGGGGGGTTCAAAGAACTTATCGGCAGTAATGGACCACAGAAATTCTGTATTGAACGAGTTGGCAAGGAGAGCATGTTGCCTCGTTCACATACCTGCTTCAACAGATTAGATCTACCGCCCTACAAAAGTGCGCAGCAGCTACAGGAAAAACTGATGATTGCGGTCGAATGGACAGAAGGTTTCGGGCAAGAGTGAACTTATCTAAAAATTTGTTGTTAAAACAAACTGGTTTACAAATTCAATTCTCACGTAGTTTGCATTCGCTATTGGCTGGCTCTAAACCTACGTTTGCACTAATTTTGTATGAGCTATAATTTTCATTTAAGCATCAATGGGTGTCAATTTCAATTCGAATGTGATAATTGTATTTACTCAAGCCAGCTAGTAGAATGACACTGTAATGTACGAGTGTAGTGTAATAGAATGACACGGTAGTGTAATATTTGCAATTTTGAATAAAATTGCAAATAAAAGTACTCATTTGGTGGCAATTTTGCTATAGTCATAATCTTTAGCTTTGGAAATATCAACGCATCTATTCTGCTTTATTGGTGGCTATTGGTTGCCGCTCTTCAAGCGACCGTGATGCTGTTGTAGGTTGTCCTAATTTTCGTTGTTGTTTTTCATGCAAAACTGCTGCGTGACATCCCATGCTCCTTCCAATCTGTTGCCCGGCTGTTCGAGCTTCTTGTTCGTCTGTATAATTAGTGAATCAGCACAATTACAACAGTTGATTAATTTTACTATCACCGGATGCAAAAAAAAACGCAATGGATTTTGAGCTCACTGTTAGAATATACTGTGTCGATATTCTGAGAACTAAAATAACACCTAAATCTACTTAACTCTTTTTAAGTTTTTTCTACCAATTAGCTCAGCGAGACAGTTGATTTTTTATATGCAAATTGTTGGGCTATATTGTTGTTACTGATTCATTTTTACACAAGCAAGCGTAGTGTATTATTAAGAAGATTTTTTTTCTAGTCTGAGCCGCAATTAGAAGTGCTCATTTGGTGGCACTTTTGGTATATTTCAATTTAATAATTTTTAAGCCTATTTATTTTGGGCTAGTGTTAGGTCCTGCTTAATAAAAAAACAGGTATTATGAAAATGTATCGGATTTGTTGTTTTTGTTATTTATTGCAACGTTTTAGAAAATTTTAGAATTTTTCGCTGAAGTTGCAATTTTTCTCACAAACTACTTCACCGTTTTTCAAAAAAATAGTAATAATGGACAAAGCTGCTGCTCTTATATGTGCCTGCATGTTTTGCCGGTCTATTTTCTGTTTCCCCACGCTCTAAGGCCTTCGAAACTTTCAGCAGGGGGATTTTTTACCTTTTTGTTTTGAATTTTGTCCAGTTTCTCAAATATTAAATACACAAATCTGAGATGAAGGTTTGAATCAAAAGAAATAATCATGAGGATCTCCCCCTGATTCTTAGGTTGATAGCTCATTGAAAGTATTATGGTGCTTAGATTTCTTAAAAATGCATGTGTCAGAAATTATAATTTTTTTTTCTAGAAAATTCATCACTATTCTCAAAAACTAACTAAATCTTATACTAAGAGCTCAGTCGAAAAACCAGGGCGTAGAAAATCTCCCTGCATAAGAGGCTATTCCCATGCTCTATTAGAGAAAAGTTCATAGCTTAAGAAAAACTCAATTTTTAAAAATTTTCATCGTTTTTTGGAATCTTTCATTTTTTCGAAAACTATTCAGCCAAGTCTGAGAAGAATTCAATTGAAAGAGCGAATAGTATTTTTCTTTTCTAAATAAGCAGCTAATTTTCTCATTAAGAAGATTAATTACTAGGCCTTTGAATTAAATCCATTTTGAAATTTTTAAAATAACTCCGTATCTTGACAATATAAGATTGGAAAATTAAAACAGGTACATTCAGCAATAGCTGGTCACTATTTTACTTCCAAATGACCGTGGCGCAGATGCGAGGATGTGAGTGACACTAATCATCAGGTCAGAGACTCAAATCCGGAACATTGAGAGAGTTTGTTTATTTGTTGAAAATTTTGCGTATTTATTGGTGGCTAGAGTTTGTTAAATTTTAAGTTAAACATTTTTGTTACGTCCCTTTTACTGCTACGTGATAATAGTCTCTGACCTTCTTCGATTGTTGTACTTAAAAAGTAGAGTTGCATCTTTTTTCCAGGAGAGCTGTTTCATTGGGTCTTTTATTCTTTCAAAATGTTAAGCATCGGTTTTTAAATAAGAGTATAAAAATGGGGGCAGCTGCAAATCATTTTGTTTACAATTTGGTGTGGGAAACTCTTCAAAGACACAATCCAAAGTAAATTCATCGAAAGTAATCAAAATTAAGACCCAAGAGATTGTACCAACAGTGGCATAGAGGAAGGGCGTGATTTCCTCCTAATCTACTGAGCGGAGTCACAATGCCGCACTTAGCAATAATTTTAGGTATAATTGGGGCAATTTTGCCGCATAGCATTGGCAGGCTATTTATTAGCATCTGCAGCCTTGTTGGTGGCTAGTGTAAGGAACGTCTCACTGGCTTGTGGCGCAGAGGAAAGAATTCGCCACTACAATTTTCGAGATCGCAGGTTAGAATCCTACACTCCCTTTATATTTAGAGTCGATGAACGTAGTTCAGACTCTTACATAAGTCGCCATAATGTTTTAAAAAGTTTTTCCAAGAAAAAGTAAAATTCATTCGGGCTAAAATTTACTTTTCCGGGGTTTGACTTTTGATTTCTTTTTGAATTCAGTTCATTTCCTTTGTTGAAAGAGCTCCACTATCGAGCACTGAAAAAGGTCATGAAAAATAGGATCATTTTCTATTTAGGAAAATAGAATTAAATTTTCGGATTTCCCTGTGAAATAAAGAATTTTACCCTCTCATACATTTTTTTTAAAATGAGTCAATTTTATCCAAAAAAATCATAAATTCATTCATAAATTTTTCTAGAAATAAAAAAGAGCTTGAAGGTCATAAATTAATTTCTTAGAAATTCGAAAGTTGAAGTTTTCAAAAAACAAGTCAGTTTTTTTTGTTTACTTGCGTTCATTGACTCTTCAACTGTCTCTTGGCTATGTTGCTTCATTAGAGCTGTTTGGCTTTAGATTATCCGAAGAATTTCAAAATTTTCTATGTGAGGCAGTTTAATCAAATTTACTCGAAACATTAAACGATATTTTCAATATTGACGAATGAGATCAATGTTTTTTTTTGCAGGTAATTTTCCCACGCTTAAAATTTTTTTCATTTTTTTACACAGGTAAAGTTGAGCGTAGTAAAATTGCTTTCTAATCTTAGTCACGAAAAAGAACTTCTTGGGTGACAAGAGTTAGTTTAATTTCCAGAGAGCGTGGCGCAGATGACAGAACGTCAGACTCCTAATCAACAGATCGGAGATTCAAATCTGGAATATTGAAATGAAATATAGGTCTTTCTGATTTTTTTTTTACAGGAAGAGGTTTTAAAATTTCACGATCAATTTTGATTTTTCGCTGTTTGACTTGTGATTTCTTTGAGAGTTCAGTGCATTTATTATGTTAAGAGAAGAAAAACCCCACTATCAAACAGCAAAATTTTAAAGGTCACGAAAAACGTGATCGACTTCTAATTTAGAAAATGGAAATTAATTATCAGATTTCCCAGCGAAATGAAAATTCTACCTCTTGATCCAGTTTTCTCAATTTGGGTTAGTTGTAACAAAAAATGGCCATCATAAATTGCTCAACAAATTCATAGAGATTAATTTTTCATCGAAATTCAAAAGTTGAAGATTTGTGAAAAAACAAGTCGGTTTCTTCGTTTTTTTTGCGTCCATTACTCTTTTCCAACTGTCAGTTGGCTATGTTTTTGCTGATCGTTGCTTTATTGTACGGAAACTGGATGAGTTGTTCTTTGATATTGTTCGAACAGCAACTGTGTAAAGGTCTGGAGAAACGTGATCGACTTGAAATTGGTTTTAATTTTGAACTTTCCGAACGGATTAAAAACATGCTTTGATCCATTATTTCTCAAATTGAGTAATTTTTATCAAAAAAGTGTCGAACATAATTTGTTCTAGAAATTTGAAGAACCTCAATGTCATTTAATTTTCTATGAAATTCGAAAAATGAAGTTTTTTTTTAAAGAAGAAGTCTGTTTTTCTGTTTCTTTGTGTACATCTTTTCTTTTGAAACTGACTTGGTTTTTGTGGCGATTTTGCTGCATAGCATTGTGAAATTAATACCAATCGAAGCTGCGTTATTGGTACCTAGTACTAATTAATTTTCAAGCGATCTTTGCGCAGATGCGAAAACGTGGGACTCCTATCCTTCACGTTGAAAGTACGCTTCCGGCACCGCAAAAATTTCATTTTTCAAGACTACTTTTTACCTTTGCTTTCGTTATTTTACTTTGTTGTTGCCTTTTCAGAGTACGTTTTGCGGTTTCATCGCCTGTGTTTGCAAATTCTAGCTGCGCCTCTGTGTTTTTTTTTGCGATAATCAAGCTTGTTCGAATCGGAACATGATTTCTGATTAAAAACCTATTAAACACAATTACTATAATCAATTCAAAAACAAATGTTATGAATATATATTTCACAAACACTTTCTAATAATAAATTTTTCAAGTGTGAATGAAGTTTTTCAGTAGAGGTGAAAAATTTTATATGGGTCAAAATTATTTTTTTTTCAAGAAAAAGACGAAAAGTCAATCACGCTAAATTCGGCTGTTCAAGGTTCGAACTTTGATTCCTTTTCAAGTTGATCTCATTCATTTGCAAAATTGAAGACAAATCAAACATTCTATTAAACAAAGTGCAAATACTGTAGGAAAACGTTATTGAAATCAGGTTCAACGTTCTTCTACAAATACAAAAATTGTCGTTGAAATAATATTAATGACTGATCAAATTTTCTCACTTGGGGTTTATTAATTTGTTTTTTTTTTCGAACGAATTAGCTGTTAGATTATGGCAAAATTGTACTTGTCCTCTATCGGGGTTGCATTGTGGGTGAATGACAAAGAAAAGATAGAGTAAGCGTCAATTTTTTATCGTATGGAATCATTTTTTGTGTGGAATTACGGTTAATGTTTAATTTTCAATTTGTTTTTATGGTTGATTCCAATTATAGAGCCTTACTGATTTACGAAGGTATGTTCTTTTTATTCTACATTTACCTTTTATAGATGATGCTGTTCTGAGTTCTGATTCCGAAAAACTTTTTTGGTCGTTATTTGGTTTATTTTTATCGTCGAATAAATCTCGAAGATTTTGAAGTTTCGTGTTTGGAAAAATTTTGTTTAACAATTTGCTTTTATTTTGTGATTACATCCTTCTTTTTTGTTTGTTTTTTTTTTCGATCTGATGTATCCTATTTTTGTTTTTGTGGTGTAATTACAAGATCGTATCTTTCGTTTTTAATTAAGCAAATATGAAGTACTATTGGTTGTTTGTTTCCTAGATTATATCATGACATTACTGCTAGAATGATGGTCGCAAAATCCAGGGGTT